AAAAAAAAGTTCTAAAACGTCCCACCTCTTCGTTTTCAGCAGCAAACACGATTGACTTATGAGAAAGCATTCCAAGATCTGCAAGCAGTGCTGGTAGCTCTCGCGTATCCGAGTAATGGGTAACTATGCGACAAGAAGCTGTGACATGATTCAACAGGCCACAAGGCGCTCCTAAAAGGAAAGATAATCGTGTGTTTGGAGAATTCCCAGGTGGTCAGAATGCCCCAAAACATTTTGGAGCGCTGCAGTACTTCTTTATTATTTAAAACACCTACCGTCAGGAGTATGTACAGGACAAATGAAACCCCATGCTTCTGGACGTAGTTTACGCACATCGGTTGTCCTCATTTCCATGAAAAATGCACCCCTGAATTATCAAATCTTTTATTCACTTCCCAACGTAGCAACACATAGAACACAGCAAAGGAAATCTTATAATGACCTGTGAATCGCACGAAAATGTGACACGAATCGCAACTGATTGATGCGCTCAGCAATGACAGAAAATCCTGTATCCTAAACAGTACAAACGATTAGAAAATATGACTTAGAAAACAAGCAGCTTACCTGCTGGAGCGACAGTCCTATTTTTGTAATAAGATTACCCGTAGCAAGAAAGTACTCTAACCCTCGAGTGATTTCGCCATTTTGATGACTACCAAGAGCACGAATTACTTCATTTCTGAACGAAACAGACGCTTTGTGCACTGCTCAAAATGGAAAATAGTTCAGAAACCTACGATGTGACAGCAAAAGTGTCCTTCTTTCGCTTTGCATTAAATTCCAGCTTACGTCGGACCATTCCAAGAATATTTTCCATGCGCTCACGTATGATCAGGAGGATGATATGACCAGAAACGGCAGCTTCCTCAAAAATCATCATAGATGAGAAAACAACGTTGAACAACAATGGTAAAAATATAAAAAGACAGAAAGGAATTAGGGGAACAATTACTAGAGCTAATCACCTACTTGAAACTGAGGGTTGTCGGGCGTTTCTGGAGCACATTCGCCCTAAAGAAAGAGATACAAGTAAACTTAAGCAAGATGCCTGGAAGAGCATACGATACCTTTACAAGAGCAAACAGCTTTTGAGCCATATAAATGAGCTGATAAAACTTCTCCTCCCAATCATCGATATGAACTGCCACGCAGGAATTAATAATAAATCGACCTGCTTCCTAAGATATTTTT